CAATGGTTTGAGGGTCATATAATTCCTAGTTTGGCTGTTGGGCACTCCAGCAGCTCAGCCTGAGATTTCCCCAGAGTTTGGACCCTGTTGAGTGACAAGGAGTGAATGTGATTCCTTCATAATACAAATGTATTCTCACGCAATGAGCTGTAGTCCACAAGAGGCCCTTTGGTAAAGCCTGAAACAGTTACTTCCCACAAAGGATGGGGCTGTTTACAAATATTTAGGTGTATGGGACAACAACTGAAAAAGAACAAAGCCAAGCCAAGGAAAAGCAAACCCCTGGTTGAGTGACAAATCTAGAGTTCATAGAACGCAGATACCAAGATACTTGTTAAAGAGAAATAAGGGCCGAAAGATGATAGTAAGTTAGGTCATGTGGGACTAGTACTGAGTCCTTGAAGGAACAGGCAGTCAATGAAGAGACATCAAAAGTGTTGCACTGTGGATCACATCATGCAGGCACATGGCCTTTAGGTAAGGCTCCTTTCTGTCTTCCCAAAGTCAGTACATCCAGCAGGTGGAGATCAAGAGTTTCCCAGTAGACCCAGCAGTAGGAAGGCAGCTCACAAACAGTTAAGGATGGAAGGAGCTCAGATTGTGCTGAGCTGGCAGTGACCAGGAAACATCAATTTCCTCAGCACTTCTCTCTGCCCCAAAAGAGCAGGCCACTGTACATCTTCTCATCCCTCAACCTTTCTTTGGGTTGCGCAGGAATGGCCAACTGCGGGAAATTGCTCTGTGGCCACTGTTAATGGGCCGCCAAGTACCAGGGATGCAAACCACAGGGTACAGAGGAAGAGACAAGTGCACAGTCCAGAGGGCCTGCTTTGAGAACTAAGCTATCTGCAAACAATAGCAAGGTTATGAAATCTTTCCTTCTTGTCCTGATCCCCAGTCATTTTGCTGCCTGAGGCAGAAGACAAGATAATGTCCTTTCCTCCCATTAAAATGCAGACACTGATTCAACTAACTACTGAATCCTTACTTCAGTGTTGGAGGTGGGATTAGCATTCCCTGCCAAGTTGGCAGCCTGGAGGATGCGGGCAATAGCATTACTATCCAACTGAGAAGAGCATCATGGGCCTTCAAATGGAATTGCTTCTGAGCTGTTCATTGATACACCTCCATTACCCCATCAGCTGGCCCCTAGGACGATCATATCACTCAGCCTAAGAGTAGGTCTGGCTCTGTCAACTGCCAAATCTGCAGTAGCAATTGTTTTGGTGAATAATCATCAAGTGCAGCTTGATCAGCAGACCATGACTATTCTTATCTCCATGCCACATGAAAAGCTTCACCAACTGATTTCTGTGCAAATCAAGTTTCTGCTCAAGGCTTAAATAGGAAGCTGGGTGATTTTTTTTCCTGGTCAACTGCGAAGTCTAATCCACATGTTGGATGTTAACATTTTATATTTTGTTATTAAGCAGATCAGAATATTTTTCTTGAGGCATTTGGATGCTTCACCAATCACAGGGTAGCCTGAAATTCACCATTCCTGTAAGTGTAGCTTCATCCAACTGAAATCAGAAGAACCAGGTGCATGTTTTGTCATGCTCCTAATAACATTTAAAACACAGATCTTCACTCATGTTCTCAGCAGTCTCTGCATGTTTTAAGCATATCTAGCACTCTCTTTTCATGTTTCTCTCCAAGTGTAGTGAAGAGATGACTCCAAAATGCCACTGAGGATACTCGTGTGCTTAGTGTATGCTTAAATTGGGTATGCTGGGGCTCCAGAGCAGCTACATGGGCTTGAAAGCTCTATGCCCACTCACCTCCATTAAGGAGGATAGAAATGAAGATCGCAACAAGAACACACTGAGCTGCTCACAGATGGCATTTAAATTCATCCCTTATGGTTAGGCTTTCAAGGGTTGACACCAGCTCCTTCTCCTATGTCAATCCAGTTTTGTCAGCAGTTGATGAAATGATGGACAATGTATTTGTGTGAAAGCAACGAGCATGAAGTTAACTTACTGCAAATTGTGCTTGAGTGAATAAGATTCATCATTTGAGGCTCTTTCTAAGACACAAAGCCCTGGTATTATAGTGCTTCTCACATTCTCATATCTGTGCATAAGTTTCAAGCAAAATAGATCTTGAAAATGTTGTCTGTATAGTGTGGCTCTACTACACCACCGTGCCAAAGGAAAACTTATGATATCATCCCATGCCTTCCTTTTTTTAAAACATATGCTTTAACATATGCAGGGTTCACAGTATGGGATCATCAGGGAGAGTGGCATTAGAAACTTAGACAGAACCCACAAGAGCAAAACCCACAAGCTCTGAGGATGCCTGCCACAGATACAGATGAAAAGTCAGAAGAGAATGCTTCTAGAACATGGACATACAGCCTGAAATACCTACAACAATGCAGAAATATATTGCATATTGAAGAGGAATGTCATCAGTTAGGTAATGATTGGTGATGGTATCTCAGCTCAGAGGTGAACTTTAAAACTTATCAGTTTGGACTGAGAATAACAAGGATGTAAAAGTAAGCAACCATGCATATGCCCATGGCAATCAAAATCCTCTTATTTACTTCAGAAAGTAAAGGATTGCAGCAGACTACATCTGAATATGCACAAAATGGAGAAAGTGTGGATTCTTAGTTACATAGACTGGTCAGGGGCAGATTATATCTGTGTATTCATAATCTCTTCCAGTGTACTCATAATCTATTTCAGTTTGAACTACAAACATAATAAAGTTTGTTGGATCAAAGTCTGGATTCATTTCATGTTCAGGAATTATGACAGCATTCATTTACAAATCAAGCAATTCCCAGTTCCAGTGGCATCTGTACCCAAGGTGCTGAGCCATCTGGAGTCACAAACTATCTCAATCAAAAGCCTCAAACACTGCTTTATTTAGTTTCTGCTTTCTTTTTTTCTAACATTGCTTTTCCTCTGTTTGATTTAATCGCAAGGGGCAGCTTTGTTTCAAGGCTTCTGTGTCCTCCTGTGGTAGATGCACATAGGAACAGCTGTGAGAGCCTGAAAAAGGCAGCACCGTGCTGGGTCCAGGAAATAATCTGGCACCAGCCTGGCCTGACCTGGCTTCTGCAGGCAGCAGGTTGTGAGGAGGAGCAAGGGTGGGAAGGAGAGATGCCTGCCCTTCCCTCGGCACCTCCCATAAATCCAACACAGATACCAAGGAAGCTGATGAATTATTAAGCAGGCCTGTCCTGGGCGCCGGGGTCTGAGGTTTGCATTGCCGTAGGCTGTGTTCTAACGCATCCCTGACATCCTCTGCGGCACAGGCCAGCAAAAAGCTGCTCCTTACGGTCTGTCCACAAAGTCACAACTTTTTGGAGCTGAGTACTGAAGAACCAAAGCTTCTGGACCCCAAGAGATGTTTTAAACTGCATGCTGGGTTTGGAGATTTGGTGTCTCGGGAGCTGCCTAGGAAGATAAACAACTCCATCCTATCATTTTTGATGGCTCGTTCTATAACTTCTCTTGGCTGCGCATCTCTCACATTCTCTCTTTTCCAGACCCCATCTTATGTACTATTTGGATCTCTTCACCTTCTGCCTTGCTGCTCCTCTCTTTTTCGCCTGCTTTCTGCATGCTCTACTACCTCTTTCCATCTTTCCTCCTCCCCATCCAACCCCACCCTGCCTTTCTTCTGGCACCAGCCCCATCTCTGCTCAGCCTTTTCTCAGTCCATCTCTTTCTGTTCTCTTCTCTCTTGATTGGTCCACCTGTGATCTCCAGGACTAGGAAGTCCTTATGAACTGAGCCAGCTGAACAGGGAGGTCATTAAAGGGGACCTGGAGAAAGAAAGATGCCCATCCAGATATTCTGCACAATCTCCTTCTCTGCAAACAAAGAACAGCACACTGTTGTCAAGTGTGCAACTGGGTCTAATGGTGAGAAATTCCACTCTAACCAGCAAGAACCAGAAGTCCTGGAGGAGGATTATGAAGAAGAAGAGCTGGAGGAGGGAGAGGAAGAAGATGCCCCAGACCTGGTGGCCTTTGTCAACAGTTGCACCTTGCATGGGGCCAACCATATCTTCATAGGAGAGGGCTTTGGGGTGCGCCAGACCCTCTGGGCAGGTGCATTCCTGATCTCGCTGTCCATCTTCCTCTCCCAGGTAGCTGGGCGCATATTCTTCTACTTTGAATATCACCACATAACACAACTAGATGAGATAGAGAGTTCGCAAATGGTTTTTCCAGCGGTTACCTTCTGCAACATCAACCGCATCCGAGTGTCTCAACTGACCTATGATGATTTGGTGTATATTTCACCCCTTGTGGGGTATGATGTGGGGGACTACTTGGAAGCAGGATTCCCCTTAGCCCAGCCCAGCCTTGAGGTCCCTGAGGAGCCTCTCAACCTGTATAACTTTTATGACCGCAACAGCCACCAGCTGGAGGACATGATGCTGACCTGTAAATACCGTGGGGAGGCCTGTAGGCCTGATGACTTTACTGTGGTGAGTGTCTTTTTCATCTATTATAGTGCTAGTGATAGCTGATAATGTCAGAATATGCTTACTCTCCCATTAGTCAGGGAATTGGGAATTTACTTATTCTCCTATTGGCAAAACAGCAGGTGCCAATGTGGCATAGTGGTTAAAGGGGGACTGGGATGTGAGACATCTAGATTCGAGTCCCAATTGAGCTATGAAACTCAGCAGATGACCTTGCTCGAGTATCTTCTCCACCTGAAGTTGACCCACGTCACGTATTGTTGTGAAGATGAGTGGAGAGGAGAAAAACTATGTATGTTGCCTTGGGCTCCTTGGAGCAAAGGGAGGTAATAAATGCAACTAAGCAATTCATAAAAAATATACAATAAGTTATTAGAATGTTCCTTTATTAATAATATTTCTATTATGAAACCATGGATATGCTTTTGAGATCAGCACCACTCCTTCTCAGGCTAGTTTTCAAGTGTCATCACAAGTTTATTTGAAGAGGAAAGAAAACTGTTTCTGAAGGGAAAGTGCACCAAGTCAGCAGTTTGAGGTGTCCCATGACTTCGGTAGTCCTTACATTCTTTTGTGTGTGTGTGTGTGTGTATGCGTGCCTTCAAGTTGCTTGTTGACACCTAGTAACCTAATACATTCCAAAGGGTTTTCTTAGAGAAATTGGTTTTGCTCGGACTTTCCTCTGAAATACTGCCTGCAACGCTTGGCGGACACCTATCCCAGTACTAACCAGGGCTAACTCTGTTTAGCATCTAAGATCAGATAGGATCTGGTGCCTTAAGGTATTTAGGCAGATTCCTTATATCCTTACCAGAGAGCTCCGTTTTAAGTAGTATACTAAGAACACAGAGCCAATGCGATCTAAATCAGTGGGCATGACATAGAGAAGTAGGTAACCACTCACCCAAAACCCAATCCCTTTTGAAATTAAACATTTTCCCACAATGCATTATGTTTCATTATTTATTTATCATCCTCAGACAAGAGGAGATTGGTGTGCTGAAATTTCTCCTTCGGTGAAAGTATTAAAAATAAAGGAACTCAGTCTTAAGCAACTATGCAAGGAATATCTGGTATCCAAAGGACTATTTTAAAATATGTTGTATACCAAGAATAATTTGTATTTAAATGTGCATCTACTCAGAACTCAATCCTATTACATTACATAAGTTTCCAGTATTCCTAATTGGCATTAGAAATTAATATTCTAGGAATTCACGATTAAATACATTATTTTTACAACCAGATGTGCCTCAAGATATGATTCCCTGCTTGCAGATCTAATAATAATATTAGTAATAGTAATAGTAATAATAATAATAATAATCATCCCATCTTTCTACTATGTGGAAATACCTTCTTCCAGACACAGGTATAGATCTATGCCTTGAGCTGTAGGGAAGAGAGAATTTCAGCCCAAGCTGGATGTACAGCAGCTACAGTATGTCCTTTTTTTAATGGTCTTAATTATTGACCCAGTCTTTTGTGGCTAGCTTTTGTGGGGCGAGGTCCTGCATTGCATGCCAATGCAGCTCATCAAACTCAAAGGAAATGCTTCCCCCTTTACCTAAGTGACCTGTCTCCCAAGTCCTCCATAAGATCATCCTCTGTTCTGCTTTGGTAAGACCTCACTTAGGAGACCTGGTACCAAAATTCAAAAAGTATATGGACAAGCTGGAATGTGTGCAGAGAAGGGCAACCAAATTGGCCAAAGTTGTAGGCGCTTTCTTTGAGTAATGGCTTAGGGAGCTGGATATATTTAGCCTGAAGAAGGGGATTTTAAGCTGTGGCATGATAGTCATGTTGCATTATTTGAAAAACTATCCATCTGAGAAAGGGAGTAAGCTTGTTTTCTCCTGTTCTTGAAGCTAGGACACAAAAAAATAGATTCAAACTAAAGGAAAATAAATTCCATCTAAGCATGAGGAAGACATATGTGATTATTAGAGCAGTGGAATAGTGGAATATACTGCCTCAGAATGTGGTAGAGGGTCCATTTTTGTAGGTTTTTAAGTAAACACTGAATGGCCATCTGTCAAGAATGCTTTTATTGTATTTTCTTACATGACAAGATGTTGGGCTGGATGGCCCATGTGATCTATGATTCCATGATCCGCTTTCAAAGCAACAACCTCTGAATTGGTACAATTGATCCATTCAGTTGTTGCCCACAGATATTGAGAACCAAAATGACATTGAGCCACACCTGTAAAAAAAAAAAAAGGTAACTCGTCTTTTCAAATACACTCACATGAGAGACACCCATGCCCATCTTCTGATCCCAGCATAAGCAATGTGCTTGAGCAGAATTTCCTTGTAATAAATGGCTTGTGTTGTGTTGTAAAGCAAAATAGCCATCTTCATTGAGAAGCTTTGTACCATCATATGCGCCGGAAAAAAAATGTAATATCTATGGTAATCACTTAAAAGCAGGAGAGTAAATTGACAAATAAATACATAAATTGGATCGACAGGCTAAGTTGTGTCTGCTGGGGTTTCCTATGAGGAATTGGCTATTAAAGGTGTAGGAGGTGAGTCAGTTTTCAAAGTTAATGGTGTGATTTCTGAATAGGGGAAATGCAATAGTATTTCTGCACAGCACGTAGGTATTAACACAAAGGTGCTCTGCCTCTACCCAAGCGTACACACGACCCACAGGTTAGCCCTATGTGCTCATGACGTGGAGGCTGCCCTCAGTGAAGGAAGGAGGCTCCATTGGTTCAATCTTGTCTGAGGACCAGACCAAAAACATGAAGTGTGTAAATACCTATAATTGTCATGTGCACGTCTGTGTAATTTGTTGTAGAAGTAGGAGCCACAGGAAAGTCTAAGGAACTCCTGGTGGGAGGGGCAACAGTTATATTTTACAGTGGGCAGTCCAGGAATTGGTTTGTTGTAGGTTTTTTCGGACTATATGGCCATGTTCTAGAGGCATATTTGGGCTATATGGCCATGTTCTAGAGTCCAGGAAGTGTTGGATGGTTATTGTCTGTTTGAGGGTCTTCCTCTCCAGTTGAAGGGCTGGTGGCCCCAGTTTGATTCAGAGTGCAAGCACTATGATGGAGGAGAGTTCGTGAAGTTGCTCATCAGGCATGCTGGTCACTGGGCTGTTCCCTCCCCTATGCTGTTGTTGTTGTTGTTGTTGTTGTTGTTGTTGTTGTTGTTGTATTCCTTCAAGATGTTAACTATAAGTACCCTAAGATGAATCAATCTCAGGATATTCTTGGCAAGATTTGTTCAGAAGTTTACCATTGTCTTCCTTAGGCTGAGAGAGTGTGACCCAATCTGGTTTTATGACTGAGCAGGGTTCAACTTCTGGTCTCCAGAGTCATAGTTGAATGCTCAAACCATACCACCATATGGTTCTCCCACTATCATTAGTGAGTGGTACTTATGTTTCATTTGTCTTTTTTTCTAAGTCTGTGGCATTTTAGTGATGCTCACTTGCTCGCTCGCTCACTTGCTCACTCTATCTTTCTGGCAATGGGATAAGTGACAACCTTAGAAGGGAGTTTAACTCATTTTATTCCAGCTAAAACACAGCGCCTCCTCCCACACTTCTGGAGATTATATCACAGTTGGTGCAAATAGAAGCATCTCTGGAAACACAAATAGCATCTTTGAAAATGTTTCTTGTTCTTGTTTGCACCTTCTCACCCTCCTGCACCTCCCTGAAGCTGCTTTACTTCCCAGCAGCTGCTATTTACAGAACTAAGAAAATGATTTTATACTTAATTTCTTTACCTCCTTTCCTCCTGAGACACTAGGTGTGAGTAGATGACCAGTTCTGGTGGCTTCACTGACAAGACACTCAACTGTGCTTATTTAGTGTTTTTTGTGTGTGTGTGTTTTTTTTTTTTTTTTTTTTTTTGCTTTCAGCTAGATTGAATTGGTTTCAATTTCTAAGATACCTTGAGTCTAAGTCCTGGAAAAATGAATGATCAATTTCTACATTTTCATCATCTTCAGTGTCTGGCCACAGGGCACTGGTTTATTAGTGGAAGTTGGAACAGCCCATCTGAAAAGCAAGACATAATGTCATTGTATGTTCTGATTGCTTAAATAAGAGCTTGGAACTGTTAGTTTTGTTGACTACCATTCAAAGAGATCTCCACCCAGCGTAGCAAGGTTGGTCAAGAGAGTCTGAAAGCTGTAGTCCATAAAACTAATTTTCCAAAGCTGTGAGGGAAGCACACACATTTCAAACCCAGCCTGGATATAATTCTTTTCTTATTGAGACAGATTCCAGTCTCAAAAGGGAAAATGTTGGCTTTGGATACTTCACAAGCAAGAAAGGAACTTGCATGGAGTTTCCCTTGCTTCTGTTGCCACTCTCTACATTTCAGGACTAAGTTTAAGCTCTGACTTGCTTCTGAGTTTTTCACCACTTAGCAGAAGGTTGCCTATCTGTGAAATCATCCATTTTCTTGTTAGCAGTTTTTGTTGCTCTCTCACAAGTTTGCAAAAGCCACCATCAGTTCCAAAGGGCTGAGAGAAGGCAGCCTGGTTCCTCCCACATGCTTTAAACTCCAATTCCTGAACAGCATGGCGACAGATCAGGCATTATGGTCTAGAACAAGGGTCCTCAAACTAAGGGCCGAGGGCTAGATACACCCCTCCAAGGTCATTTACCAGGCCCTTGCTCAGGGTCAACCTAAGTCTGAAATGACTTGAAAGTACACAACAACAACAACAACAATCTTATCTCAGCAACCAAAAGCAGGCCAACACCTCCCATTTAAATACTAGTAAGTTTATATTTGTTAAAATTGTTCTTCATTTTAATTATTGTATTGTTTTTAAGTGTTTTTGTACTACAAATAAGATATGTGCAGCGTGCATAGGAATTCATTCATGCTTTTTTCAAATTATAATCCGGCCTTCCAGCTGTTTGAGGGGCTGTGACCTGGCTCTCTGTTTAAAAAGTTTGAGGACCCCTGGTCTAGAATATTCAGAATGTCAAATATTGTCTACTCAGCGATTTCCAAACTCTGGTGCTCCAG